ACACTCACCTCCGCACACGTGCGCTCCTTTTCCTCCAGCGTCTGGTGACCCTGTCCGCCCCAGGGCTGGCCACCTGGAGAGCTCCCACATGGATCCCACCCAGCTGCACCCAACCCAGGACGCAGAAGGCCAGACAGCCACCTCAGAGGAGGCTACTGGCACCCCTCAAGAAGGTTCTGGGGAGAGAAACAAGAGCCAGGGCAGAGAAAGACCTTGAGACTGGCTCCTTCCGCCCGACGGAGATGTGCTGGGATGTCTCCCACACCTTTAGTGAGCACCCCCGCTGCCAGGCAACGTGCCGGGACGGCCATGAGAGGACCAGACAGGTGTGAGCCTCACACAGGCGTAGCTCCCAGTTTGGCAAGAAGAACAGACATTGAACAAATAAGTAGACAAATAACAACTCAATTATACCTGTGATGAGCACCCTCAAGGGGCGCATGTGCTGTGAGGGCGTCAGTCAGGAGGAGCCTTCCCCCGGGGAAGGGGCCGCGGAGGGTGAGGAGGGGGAGGCCGGAGGGGCTGGATGGGGTCAGGAGCCGGGGCGCTGAGGCACCAGGAGGAGCGGCAGGGAGCCGAGTGGGCGTCCAGGGCTTCTCTTTGCTGCGAGGTCTGGGGCGAGGGTGGGGCTGCCCGGCAGGTCTAGCTCCAGGGGGCAGGATGAGAGGCTTTGCTCAGACCACCGGTGACCGGCCTTGGCTCGGGCCACTGACGGCCCTTGACCGTTTGCGCGGTCATGGCTCCAGCCGGGTGGGGCTGACCAGCCACAGAGCCAGGATGGGGTTGCTGCTCCACGCTTCCCAAGGACACCTGGACAGTTCTCCCCACAGATAGCACGTCGAAGCTCCGCCACTGAGGGCAGCTGGGCCTGTGCGCTGCACCCTGCCTCCCCGACAGCACACAGGGTAGATCGGGAAGGCCTGCTGTGGCCGGCAGGGGCTCGGTGTATGGCCTGTCCTCCCCACCAGGCCCCTGGAGGCCAGGTTTCTCCACTAGCCTGAGTCTCTTCAAATAGTCCAGACCTGCCACACCCCCCACCCCCCGACAGCTGCTCTGGCTCTGGGTGGAGGCGTCCAGGAAGGAACAGGTCCCCACCCCGCCCCTAAGCCCCGAGGAACTCCTGGAGCCTAGGACTTCTGTGAGCAGGACCTTGCCTCCTTGCCTGGGCCCTGGAGGGGGGCTGCCCCTTCCCGCCTCGGGGACGAAGCCACCCGTGTTTCCTCCCGCCAGAGTGACTCCAAGAGCCTGGGCCAGACCGGCAGCCTCACCCCCCAGCCCCGCTGTGTGTCTGGGCCTGGGCGGCTGAGAAGGGTATTCAGGGGAAAGGAGGGGGCAAGCCGCAGTGGTGGCAGCGTGCGTGGCCCAGTCTCCCCTTGGCATTCGGGTAAGACGTGACTGTGCCTGCCCACCCGCCGCGCTGGCCACCCAGGTCTTTCTGCGCTGCCTCTCCTCGGGCTCTGGGGGGCTCTGGTCCAGTCCCCACTCACCCTGCTGGGCCAAGAAGTGAGGGCACCATTTCGTGAGCCCTCTGTTTCCTTAGGAGTAGAACAGATGGGAGGCTGCGTCTCTCCCTCCCCCTCGCCCACCCTTCCTCCGGCCGCTGCAGGAGGCGCCGGAAGGGCCGGCCCTCAGGTCCCAGCTGGGCCCTTCTTCTGGAGAAGCGGGGCTGGCGTGAATGCAGGGTCCTGAAGAAGCGCCTCACCCACTCTCCCCCAGTCCCCACCCAACTCCAGTCCTCCAACAAGCCCTTTTGAAATGCAAGTGCCAAGCGCTTCCCTCCCCCTCTTCTTTCTCATATAAATGCTTCAAGTCTCAGAAAAGAGTAGAAAATGAGGTGTTTCAGACAGCAGCGTCTCACCCACCACCCAGCCTGATAAGGGACTGTTCAATTCTAATTAGACAATTTCATTCCCTCAGATGCCAACCTTTCAGGGGAGGCAGCGCCGCAGGCCCCAGCCAGAGTTCATACCCTGCCACGGGCGCCTGGTCCCCCACCTCCAGGCCCTGGGCCCCAGGGCTTTGTTGGCAGATGGCATCAGACCCAGAGGGCGAGTGGGTCTCCCCACTCTCCTCCCAGACAGTTCTGCTGCAGGGTCCCGGGCTGCCCTGCTGGATGGGCCCTGCGGCCCTACCCCACTGGGCTGGGGACCGGGACTGGGCACGATGGCAGCCTCCAGGTGTTTCCTGAGAGCAAATGTCAGTTTTGGGTGCCAGCATTGAACTGTGAAGCTTCACAGGAGTTTTTCTTCCAACACACTCGTGAGGAGCCGTTTCTGTTTACAGGCCAGGGAGCCTGCCAGCCACTGCGATGTGACCAGCTCAGCCCACCTCCTTGCCGTTGCATCTGCTCCCCGGCCCCTCTGCCACGCCCCGGCCTCTGGAGCAGTGGCTGGTGTGAGCAGGTGGACTGCCAGGGCAGCCTCGGAGGCCCGGCCCGGCCCCAGGTGTCTGGGCTCCATAGCACTCCTCGACTCAAGAGCTGGCCACCCTTCAATCAGGGCCCCAACAGAAAGTGGTACCCTCTGCAGAGCACAAAGGGCATGTGGCAGAGGCGCTGGCAGCTGGGAGGCTCCGCATACCCCTTGCCCCGAGGGTCCACACAGCTCTTTAGTCCCAGTCATGGTGTCATGCGGCCCTGCGGCAGGGGCCGTGGTGGCGGTCGCCGTCACCGTCACCGATGGCTGGAGAGAGGCCGGGTGTTGGAGAACTGGATGGACGAGGTGCTGCCTTTGGGGTGGATGCTTCTGTAAGGTCTGTCAGCAGACCTTGCCCTTCTGAGCTGGGGCTGGGCAGCGAGTACTGGATGCAGATGAGGCTCCCCCGCACTTTGCTAGCCCCAGGCTTGCAGGCCCCCCGCAGAGGAGTCCTCAGTGCTTCTGGCCCCCTCCTCCTGCCCGCATTCCAGGGCAGCGGAGACAGAAAAGCCTAGCCGGCCCCAGATGGCACCTGCACCCTCACCCATGAGCGTCTGCTGGTGAGGGTGGGCTGGGGAGCAGCAGCTGCCCCTTATCGCCGCACAGGGATGACGAGGACGGCACTCTGGGGGGAGGCAGCCACCCTGTGAGGGAGGCCTGGCGTCCGCAGGGGTCTCTGTCTCCTCCCCCACCTTAACAAAGGCCCCGCCTTGGGGCTTCAATGATGGACTCTACTTTCACACAGTTCTGGAGGCTGGAGGTTGAGGGAGGGCCGTTCCTGGCTGCCGCTGACCGCCCTCTCCGCGTGCGCTCGCCTGCAGGGAGAGAGCGGGCAGCTGTCTGGGGTCTCCTCTCCCATCATGAGGCCCCTACGCTCATGGCCGGACCACCGCCCGGAGAGCATCACGCTGGGTGTTACAGCCTCAACCTCTGAATTCTGGGGGGACACATTTCAGTCCTTAGTGGCCGAGTTAGATCACCCCTCCCTTCCCCAGGATCCAGCCCCAAGTAGCTAATCCTGTGAGGCCACACATGACCACGCATGCAGTCGCTAAATGCTCATTGATTGGGAGCTGATTTGAAGCTTTTATGCACGAGGCAAGAGCCACTTGGGAGGAAGATGGAAATGGCACATGGAGGTTGGAGAGCAAGTTGATCATATTTTCATAACCCCTAAACAATATGCTTATTCTGACAACAGAAATTTTGCTTTAGTAACGTGATCTTATTTACTGAGAAGTCTTATAACTGCAAGAATAATCCACCTTGGGTTATGTATTTAGTCAATCTCTCTTTCTAAGAACAAGGAAGCTGGACCATCCTAGTACCCAGGGTAACAGCTGTCGTGCAGGCCTGGCGTTTCCAACCTACACCAGCCCGAGTGGGCACCAACCTCCCTGGCTTTTCTGCAGCCAGGACCAGGCCAGGACACCTGGAGCTCTCCCGCCCCTCGCAGGCAAAAGCTCTGATGTGGATGAAGCAGCTTAAAGGGCAGGGCAAAGGTGGGGACCTGAGGGGTCTTCCCAGTGCCCCTGGAGTGAGAAGACTGTGACCTGGTCCCTTCCCCACACCTCCTCCTTGGAGCCCTTGGGGCGAGGGGACAGGAAGGGATGGGGCTGGAGCTGGGGGATGGAGCCTGGGGACCGGCAGGTTTTCTCAGGCCTCTGAGAGGATGCCAGGAGGGAAATGCCAGGAGGGAAATGCCCGGAGGTCACCGTTAGAATGCAGACCAGCCCCAGAGAGCCGAGGGGAAGCACCTGCAACCACATCATCGACCCGGGGCTCCCCTCGGCCCTCAGGCTTGTCTGAGAGCTGTCGCACTCCGTTCCTTCCTCTTTCGGGCTCCCTGCAGGCTGACCTGTGCAGGCCATGCATGAGCCATCTTGCTAGGCTTCACAGTGACACTTACCATCCCTATTTTGTAGATGGAGAAACTGGGCCTCAGGAAAAGCAAATTATTCATTCACAACCGCAGAGCTCGTGAGGGCAGAACTGGGGTTGGTCCAGGTTTTGGTCCTCAGCCCTATTGACACAATACCATTCATGCCAAAGCGCACCGTCCTGGGGTCTGCTGACGCCCCAAGACCCACTCGGCTTGGTGCTGTGTGACAACATGCAGCCCCTGCTTGTGAGGCCTGTTGGCCCCAGGTAGGAAGGGAGTGGAGGACGCGGTGGGGGCAGCCGCTGCCTCTGGGGGCCAGGGACATAGCCGTGCGCCAAGGTGCTCACAGGGTCTGTGGCATCTAGTCATCTTCCATGTTCTCCCGTTCTTTATAGAACATAGTAGGTTATGGTGTAGTGGCAAAAAAGCAATGAGAACAATAGAGAGTAAACACTAGATCAGAAAAGGATGCGCCTGAGGCCTTTCCAGCCCTGGCTGCAGGGACTCACCCTTGCCAGCAGAGAGGTAGCCTCCAGCCCCTTCCTGGACCGGCAGCACTGACATCTGCCACTCAGTCACACCCATGGTGTGCAGCCCCAGTTTCAGTTCTCCCCCTCCAGGAAGCCTTCCAAGGGCTCCCAGCCCTGCCCACGTGCATGTCCTCTCTGACCTCTGAACACTCCTGTAGTGGGCACTGCGTGAGCATGCCGATCCCCTGCAGGACGGAAGCCCCTGCTCCCCAGCTGCTTCCAGTGTCTGCAACTCCCAGCTGGCCGCTGGGCCCACCCTCTCGGTGGCCGTCCGCTGCTGGAGGCGGGCACTGCGATCGAGATCACACCCTCCCCCTGGAGCAGCCCACAGCTCAGGGTGTCCACGAGAGGTGGCAAAGGCCTGGCCCTGGTGCCCTGAGTCAGGCGGCCCCGCAGGCAGCCTGCTCCTCCTCTGCCCCATCCCCCAGGTCTGGGCCCCGCGTTCCCCAGTGAGTGTCCTGTGCGCTGACTTCCTCCTCAGAGTCTTGTTTCTGGGGACCCAGCAGCACACCGCGGTCCTCTTGGGCTGAGGTTCTTTTGTCACTTGTTGGCCTGGTGGCCTGAGCGACGACCACACTCCCGGAGCCTGTGAGTCACGCTCTGAATCTGCCCCCCGACTGCCCGCAATCCCGGAGCAGGGCCGGGCTGAGAACAGGACATGTGCTCTTCGGTTTGTCTGTTCCATGAAGATGAGGCATGAGCGAGACAAGGACGAGCCGTCGCCCCTGAGACGCTTGCACCCCCTGAGATGCTTGCACCCCCTGAGAAGGCAGACACGCAAGCGGGGCGAGTCCCGGAACAGAGCCCCGAGGAGGGAGAGGGGGGATGGCCGAGCCAGGGAGCCTCGGGACGGATTCCGGGGCAGAAGGATTCTGAGCAAGGCTGGCCCCAGAGGCTGTGGGGGGGCTGGGCAAGCAGGGAGCAGGGAAAGGAGGTGTTCCAGACATTCTTCTCTTTTGTAAAGTGGGGATAACAATTACGAGCCTCAGAGGTTGTTTTGAGAATAAATGAGATCGTATATCAAAAGAAAAAGTCTTGGCAAACTATCAAATCCTTTACAGTAAGTGTGTGTGGAGCTGTCATCCCTGTCAGGGCCCGGATCATGCTGCAGGAATGGATGTCTGACTGGGCTTACGTAGAGAATGGGGTGGAGGAGACAGGGCTGCACGGACCTCCCCAGAGAGGGACTAAGGAAGTGTGGGGCGGGGCAGAGGGGAACAGTCAGGGGCCTGGGGTGTGAGTGTGCCTGGGCTGCAGGCCGGGACCCCAGTGCTCTGTGCCCAGCAGACTCAGCAGATGCTGGCCGAGCAGACGCATGGGAGTGGGGGGCAGCTCCGATGCCTGATGGTGGGTGCCCCATGGGAGAGGGGCCGGCTGCCTTGGCAGAGTCGGGCCTCCACACCCACAGCGCTTCACTGACTGACCGCTGGTCGCACAGGGGCACTCCTTGCCACCCCACACGGAGTTAGGAGTTCCTCTTCCCAGAGACCTTGGTCAAAACGCCTCCTTCGGGACGCCTCTGCCCCCTGGGCTGAGATAGCCAGTCCTCAAAGCTCTCGGTGCACAAACGCAGAACATCGTCCCGGACCTGGGTGCCTGTGGCCTCCCAGCTGGTGTCCTGCAGCCCAGCCGGCCCGCCCCGCCCTCCCATTCTCTCCTCAGTCAGAATTTTCTCTCTGGAAGGCAAATCCCATCAGGTGGCTCCCGCTGTCCTTAGGGCCAAGTCTAGACCCCCTGCATGGTCTGACCTGCTGTGATCTCTCCCGCTGCGGCCTTCCGTGGCTCAGCTCATGCCGCATTGCTCTTGCTTCAGGATTCTGAGTGCTTCTAGCCCCCCACCATCGCCCTCCCACTCCATCGTTTGCAAATGACGCTTCCTACATCCAGCCCCTTCCCCTGGCCCCCGGCTCTTTGCGTGCTAATTTCTGCACGTCCTTCAGGCGTCTGCTGAATACCACTTCCTCTGGAAAGTCTTGTTTCAATCTTGAGACTAGGTTGTGTTCCGTTTCCAAGTGGCTGCCCTTCGCAGACCTAACTGCTTGACTGATCAGCTACTGTTTCTTTTAGAAGTGAGCTGAAGAACCATCTACCTTTGTTCCTGCCTATGTTTCTAGCACTAGATAGAACTGTGTTCAATAAAATATTTATAGAATCAAGATGAATGACTACGTATCTCCATCCCCACCACTAGGGGCTGGATCTCCTCATAACTTGTCTTAAGAGCGGGGTGCATGTAATGTGCTTGCTCAGAGTTTGTTGAATAAATAGATGAATGAATGATCAGCTCTTTGCAAGCTCATTAATTTTATTATACTTAAAAAAATTTTAAGTTGCTCATTTGTTTTACCATCTACAAGAACTTTTGCCACCCCACATGTGGGGTCCTTTCTCTACAGCCCTGCACCATGTGGTCCACACAGCAGCCTTCGTTCCAGCGCTTTGCAGATGGTGAGCCAATGGTCAGAGAAGTTAGGTGACTTGTCTGGCATCGCACAGCTGGGAGGTTCGAGCTGGTTCATTAGATCACACTGAGTAGGGCTAGCAGAGCAGGTGCAGCAAACCCAATGCTCTCAGACAATCGTTAGATGTGACTCATCCAGCCCTGAGCCTGGAGCCCCTGGTCGGGTTCTGCTCTGGGGCCCTCCGCGAGGGGCCACAGGTGTCCGGAAGCCTTCCTGCTTACCCCTGGTGTCCCTTTCTCCTGGACAGAGCCTGGCCTCCCAGTGGCCCTGTTGCCCCCTACCTGGGCGACTTGCACAGGACCATTGAGGACGACCTAGAGAGCCAGAACTGGAGCCAGCCCTTCAATGGGTCGGGACGGGAGCCCGACAGGCCCCCCTACAACTACTTCGCCATGTCACTTGCCCTGCTCATCTTCGTCATCATCTTCGGTAACGTGCTGGTGTGCATGGCCGTGTCCCGGGAGAAGGCGCTGCAGACCACCACCAACTACCTGATCGTCAGCCTCGCCGTGGCCGACCTCCTCGTGGCCACGCTCGTCATGCCCTGGGTCGTCTACCTGGAGGTAGGTGTGGCCCCGCCCTCCCGCAGCTCCTCAGGGGGACGCTGCTGCGCCCGGAGGCTGGCCTCCTCCCTGGACACTCTCTGGCAGCCGCTTCCTCCACTGGGGCCCAGCTTTCTCCTTATAAATGGGTGGACGGTCTCCTTACCAAGTGCCACACCACACGCGGGGTCCTGGCTCTACAGCCCTGCGCCATGTGGTCCTCACAGCAGCCTTCGTACCAGCGCTTTGCAGATGGTGAGCTGATGGTCAGAGAAGTTAGATGACTTGTCCGGCCCGGCAGGTCCAAGCTGGCACTCTGGTCCGGAGCTGGTTCCTTAGGTCACGCTGGAAACGGGAATCGTGGACGAGGGTCCCCAAGGAAAGGAGAGGTTCAGCCTCCAGGCCTGAAGTCTTCATTCCTGGCTCCCCACTTCAGAAGCAGCGGCTGTTGCTCTCTGCCCTCTTTCCTCGGGAAGGAGCTTGTAGAGCCCAGCTCTGCACCTCGGCGTAGTGAGGAGATGAGCCCTGATAGGGTCCAGGCGCCACGCCGAGCATTTGACAGACAGACACAGCAAACAGTCCCGCCAATCCTGGGAGCTGACACTATTCTCAATGTTCAGAAGAAGAAACAGAGGCTTTGAGAAGCTGCCTGTTTTCCTCCTGCAGCAAAGGGAGAAACTAGATAGAGAAGTCCTAAGGGTAGGCCCATCTCCAGGCAGACACTCTGAGAGCCGGCAGGCAGGTGTGGGCGGCCGCCTGCGCGCGGACGAAGGCCCAGCAGGGAAGCAGTCTGAGTGTGTTGTCCTTCTTCTGGCTTGGCTCTTGGCTTCCAGTGGCCTGACAGGCCCCGAAGGAGAGGGGCCGGGGCAAGGGCCTCCGGCACCCAAGGGCACAGCTCCCGTGCTGCCCCTCTTCTCCCGCACCCCAGCTGGAGGCCCCCAGGGTCCCACCGCTGCCCTCTGAGCCCAGGCTGCCCAGAGAGCAGAGCTACAGGCCCCCCCGGCTGCCCGCCCACTATGCTGCCTTGTCCGCAGGTGGTGGGTGAGTGGAAGTTCAGCCGGATTCACTGTGACATCTTCGTCACTCTGGACGTCATGATGTGCACAGCGAGCATCCTGAACCTGTGTGCCATCAGCATCGACAGGTGAGCCGGAGAGAGGGGCACCTCTCCTTCAGGGCCAGGCTCTCTGACACTCCGTGTGTGAGGCCACGTGGTTGTGTGCACACGTTTGCGATGTGTGTGCACACACGTGTACATGTGAGCCCGGCTGGGATGTACAGACCCCCAAAGAGAGGCCTTCCTAGGGAGGGTGGGGCCCCCAAGGGCATCCGGGCTGGGAGGGTGGGGCCCGGGAGGGTGGGGCCCCCAAGGACATCCGGGCTGTGGCTGGTGTGGAGGACAGGGCACCTGGTCCGTTGAAACCCAGAGTCGTCGCTTCCTCCGCACGCGGCTTTGGGAAGATGTGGGCGTCCTCCGCACCCCTTCGCTGCCTAGAAACCAGGACCACGACACCCGCCTGCGCGGGGCTGCAGCGCCAGGCTGTGCTTACCTCGCTGAGCTGCATCCCTGGAGCCTCTCACTAATTTGCACACACAGGCCCCGTGGGCTCCCAGAGGCGCTGCTGCTGCTCTCCAGCAGGAAGATGGAATAGCCTGAGAGGTGCTGGCTAGAGGGCTGTGAGGGGCCACGGACAATCACCACTGTCACTACTGCCTGCCGAGTGGGGCTTTACCTTTGCTCTGGGGCCTGGCTCCCAGCCCATCACCCAACACCTCTGCCTCCTGTGGGCCCACCATGGGTGCAGCGGGTGCCTTCCGAAGGCTCAGAGACCCAGGCCGTGGCCCCCCAAGAGGCCTGAAGTCCAAGAAGGGGGATGGAGAAATAGACATGGTCCAGGATTGAATGACAAGTGTCAGTCATTAAGCTATTGCTCGGACTGTCCTCGCTGTCTAGTCAGGGGCGGGAGGAGGTCTGAGTTAAAGCAGATCGTCAGGCTGCACGGATGGGGACCGGCTAACCGTCCCCGGGGAGTGGAGCATCTCTGGCGCGTGCATGCTGCACACACGCCACGTGGTGAGCGGCCCCCGGCCCTGCCACAGGCTCAGGCCACCCCACGCCCTCACAGGTATACCGCGGTGGCCATGCCCATGCTCTACAACACTCGCTACAGCTCCAGGCGCCGGGTCACCGTCATGATTGCCATCGTCTGGGTGCTGTCCTTCACCATCTCCTGCCCGCTGCTCTTCGGACTCAACAACACCGGTGAGTCCCGCCTCTGCCTGCTGAGGCTCGGCCGGGCCCCCCACGCAGGACCCTGAGGCAGCTGAGCCCCTGCTGCAGACCCGGTGGAGGCCCCGAGGGGAGACCTGAGGGGAGGCTGGGTCTCCAGGGCCACGCCCAGCTCTGAGTTGCACCTGGTTGGGCCAGAGAGGAACAATGGCCTGTGGCACCAAGGAGTTGGGTGAGGAGTAGGGATAATGGCTAAGGAGGATGTCTGGCCATTTTCAAGTTTGTGTATTAAACTGAAGCAGGACAGCCTCACAAATTGCATGTGTGTCCATGTGTGTGTTTGTGCACACATGTGCACATGAACATGGGGGAGGCCGCTGGCCTCCATGCACCCCTGACAATGGTACTTGTGTCATGCGGCTGTGTCCCCAGGCCTGGCACCCCCGAGGCCAGGCCAGGACAGGACAGGACACAGGGAAGTCTTGAAAGTGTGAGGCACAAAGTCTAACTCTTCTGGGAATTCCAAGAAGTGGTAATAGGGCTAGAAATGCTCGGATTAATCCAGAACGGCCCTGAGACGGAGGACAGGTGCCTCTGGATCTGGGGGGTATCATGGGTGAGCCCCACAAACAGGAGCGCATGTCCTTGTTCCTAAAATTAAGAGGTGGCAAACCTCTCCCCCAATGTACGTGAAAGGCCAAAATAATGTGTCTCCTTGTTTAAAATAATTTTCTCCTGCCGTTTTCCCCTCAACACTCCGGCCCCACCCGCGGTTCTCAGAGGAGGAAGCACAGGCCGGGATCA